CCATTGCCTTGGCAACTCATGACAAGAGCCTACGGTGATCACTGATGCCATAAACAGGAGTGTCAATTTGTTAAGGCAACAACGGGAGTCACTGTGCACTTACTCCTCATGTAGGATCTCTGTCCTTAATGTGCTGTACATTGTGATTTAATGCTATAACTAGTACTCAAACAGTATTTTTCTCTTTGTGTTTCTATGTGGGTGCAAACTGTTGAAACCTTTACTTAATATATGCTAAACTGATCTTCTGTATATAAAGAGAATTGAAAATGAGGCCGGCGCCGCGGCTCACTAGGCTAATCCTCCGCCTTGCGGGGCTGGCACAACGGGTTCTAGTCCCGGTTGGGTGCCAGATTCTGTCCGGGTTGCCCCTCTTCCAGGCCAGCTCTCTGCTGTGGCCAGGGAGTGCAGTGGAGGATGGCCCAAGTGCTTGGGCCCTGCACCCCATGGGAGACCAGGAGAAGCACCTGGCTCCTGTCATTGGATCAGCACAGTTCTCCGGCCGCAGTGCGCAGGCCGCAGTGGCCGTTGGGGGGTGAATCAACAGCAAAAAGGAAGACCTTTCTCTCTGTCTCTCTCTCTCTCGCTGTCCATTCTGCCTGTCAAAAAAATAAAAATAAAATAAAAATAATTGCTTTAAACTGGTCAGTTTTTCAGTGGATTTTAAAGAATGGCTCACAAAATTTTCCTATTTCCTGTTGGATGGCTTATTTGAGTGGCAGTGAAATGTTTTAGATTCAAGTTAGAAGTTATGGAGAACATATAGGGAAGTTTCTATGGATCCATCTCTTACTAATCCTTGGTTCAGTGGAATATACACAAATATGGAATCAGCTGACCTGGATTACTGAAGTCTGTCTACTGTGGAGTCCCTTCCCTGCTTCTTAGTAGAAATCAGATAAGCTGAATTTGTGACAGCATTGTAAACTTACTCAATAACTGTGAGATGGAAGAGAGAGAGAGAGAGATCCCTATAGAAAAAAATGACATGGGAATGGTGAGCAACTAAATACTTTAAACTGTGTAACTATGTGACAAAGCCTTTTGGTTATAGATTTTCAGTGATAATATCAAAATATGTGCAAAATATAAGTCAACAAAGGATAGTAAAATCTCTCAATGTGTATGTTCTAGGGACATAAAATAAACTTATGTGAGGGCTGGTGTTGTGACGTAGCGGTGAAGCCGCTGCCTGAAGTGCCGGCATCCCATATAGGTGCCGGTTCGAGACCCAGCTGTTCCTCTTCTGATCCAGCTCTCTGCTATGGCCTGGGAAAGCAGTAGAAGATGGCCCAAGTCCTTGGACCCCTGCAGTCACATGGAAGACCCAAGAGAAGCTCTTGGCTCCTGACTTCAGCTTGGTGCAGCTCAGGCTGTAGCGGCCATCTGGGGAGTGAACCAGTAGATACAAGATCTCTCTCTCTCTCTCTCTCTCTCTGCCTCTCCTTCTCTCTCTGTGTAACTCTTTCAAATAAATAATCTTTAAAAAAAATCCCAAATGAAAGATCTCTGTGAGTGAGATCCCAGTGGAAAGAACAGGTCTTCAAAGAAGGAGGCACCTTTCTCTGAAGGGAGGAGAGAACCTCCACTTTGACTATGACCTTGTCTAAACAAGATAAGAGTCGGAGAACTCAGAGGGCTTCCATAGCCTTGGAAACTCATGACTGGAGCATAGGGAGATTACTGATGCCATAGACAGGAGTGTCAATTGGTAAAGTCAACAACAGGAGTCACTGTGCACTTACTCCTCATGTAGGATCTCTGTCCTTAATGTGCTGTGCATTGAGATTTAATGCTATAACGAGTACTCAAACAGTATATTTCACTTTGTGTTTCTATGGGGGTGCAAACGATTGAAATCTTTACTTAATGCATACTAAATTGATCTTCTGTTAAAAAAAAAAGAAAGAAAGAAATTATCAATTTCCAACTTGACTCTCACTGGGATTAAACATGACAATAGGTCTGATCTGATTTCATCATCATTAAAAAAAATCATCTATTATTTTTCACTTTATGTTTCTGTGTGGGAGCAAACTGTTGAAATCCTTACTTAAGGTATACTAAGCTGGTCTTCTGTATATTAAGATAATCAAAAATGAATCTTGATATGAATGGAGAGGAGAGGGAGTGGGAAAGGGGAGGGTTGTGGGTGGGAGGGACGGTATGGGGGGGAAGCCATTGTAATCCATAAGTCGTACTTTGGAAATTTATATTCATTAAATAAAAGGTAAAAAAAATAAAAAAATAAAAAAATAAAAAATAAACAGGCTATAGAAATTTCATTTTCATTATCTTTTTTCTTCTTTCTCCCTACCCCTCCCCCTTTTATTTTTAATTCAGTCCTGCTAACTTTATGTGGTTCATTAAAGGCCGGAGGATTCTAAGGCTGCTAAAATTTGCCTTAGCTTCTATACTTGTGGCAACATTATCAGCACACAGTAGTGATATACAAATAGTTTGGATTATGCTAGAAGCTGTGGAGGTACCTTCCTAAAGTTCTGGTAGGGTAACTTGAAACATTTATGAAATATCCTATACTTTGGGCAAAGACTAGAGTCTGATTTCTGCATTTTTTGGGTCAAATTTGTTCAAAGAATCAGCATAGCACTAATGAGAAGTGTCCTTGGAAGACACCTAATTACTGCAAAGAATTTAATACTTTGAATTATAGACCCTCAGTTTTGGGAGGATTCATAAAGATAACTTGTTATAACTATATCAGTTTCCTGGGGATCTTGCAGTATTACCACTAATCACACAGCCTTAAACTCCTTACTTAAACTCTTTTGGGTGTCCCATTTCCCCATAACTGAGATAAAATCTGTTACATTTAGTTTCACTGCTTTCAATTCCTTGGGGCCATGGAAAATATTCTAATCCATGATGACCATGCATATATTTGAAAATAATTCTCATTTCTTTGCATTTTTCCCCCAAGTGAACTGTGAATTTACTGCTTACTTGAGAATTTCTCTCCTGAAGGCATTTGAATTTATCCTTATCCTTTGACAGAACTGAATGTGATATTCTTGTGCTGACCAGCACAGAATATAGTAGTAAAAAGATAAAAAAAAAAAAAAAAAACTATGGTTTTTAAAGTTGGCTAAAACTCCTTTGGGAAGGCATATACCACTGTTATAGACTTATTATTCTGTATTCTAACTGCCAAACTTCTTTATTTTAGCAATCCTGCTTTGTAAAGTACTCTTTGCAAGTTCATGAGTCATCTCCAAATAACAACAACAATGGTCTCTCTCAGTCTTTATTTTCCTTCTAGTCTCAGTTACCCTTTAATCATGCATTTTTGGAAACTCTTAATATCCTTAAATATCAGCACATTTCATTACACAAGTTTTCCTTAGTTAACATTCTTCTCCAACCTATTATATACAACAAGCTCAGTTCTTGTGCTTGTGCTTCTGCTACCCTATACTTTCTCCTTTAGTGAGTTCATTCAATTTACTCTTAGAATTTCAACTGTTATCTCTACTTGACTAATTCTAGATCTCTCATGAATGAATGGAATTATTATTATCCTCTTAAATCAACAGTTATTTATTCCTTCCTAGTTTATTACCAATTTTCTTCACCTAGTTGTAAAAGTTACAGAGTCACCAATTGTTTCATTGCTTTCTTTTCCATATATGTATTCAGGACAATCGTCATAAAATAGTGACTCTTTTTTGAAAAAATATCTCACATTTGTCCCCCATATTTATTCTTTTCCGTGACTTACTCCAAATATCTTTCATTATATACTACTTGATGCTTATTTTCTTCAATCTATTTTTTTGCGCAATCAGAACACTAACATATTTTGTAATGCAACCCTTTTCACTATTTTGCCTTTTCAGACACTGCAGAAGGCTTTCAGCTGCCTACGAAATAAAATATAAATTCTTAGGCTGTTTTTCAAACTCATAAATGCCTTCCTCTTCAAAATTAAATATTAACATGCCTCTAATCAGTCTTCTGTGTCAGAAAAATTACCTACTGACCCTGGAGTAGGGCTTGCCAGCCTTGCAGCCCTTTCCCTCCCTCTGTTCTTTCTACTACACTAGCGTCACATCCTAGCCGTCTTTTGAGACACATCAAATACCACCACTCCCTTCCTCATGAAACAATCATCTTACTTTCTGACCGTAAGATGTTTCTGAACTCTTATTTTATTGTCCATCTAAACTATTCTGACACCTAGATTTTGCTTTTTAAATTGTCATGTACACATTTATCACTATCCAAGTATATGTTACAAGCTTTGTTGCAGGTACTCTGACTTATTTGTCTGTATGTATCTTTTATTGCTTGAAGAGGACCTTGTAAACATTAGGTCTATCATGATGTGTATTGTTTGGTGGGGTATGCTACCATGGAGATAGCTACCATGGAGATAGACTACACAATAAAAGAAATTATTATACATTTCTTTAATCAAATGTTTTATTTTAAGAAGCATCTAATCTTTCTTGACTGAGTTATATATGCATCAAGTTATAAAATAAGCATTGGGAAGTGAGGATTGTGGTTGAGAGGTCTAAGAAATGGTGAAACTTTTGAAGAGCAAAAATTGTAAGTATATGAATAGAAGGGATTTTATAATTATAGTCAATTTGGCGATAGCTTGGATATGGCTTGTATCTGGAGGATGGGGATCATAATGATCAGTTGTCTTATGGACCTTTCTTTTATTTACCCTTACTCTTCCACTTCTTATACTTCTTTTCTCTACTTCCCTTTGCCCTTTATTGAGCCCTTTACTGATTCGGTCTTTCCTTTACCTTTGTCTTTTCCATTATCACCTTCCTTGGTTTTAGCATCTTTTCTTTCTTCTTGATCCTTTTCTGCATCTTCTTCCATTATTTTGCCTGTATTTCCTTTGTCATCAGAGCTGTTATTATCTTGGGTTTCTTGTCCTTCTGATAGTTTTTTCTCACTTGTCTGCTTTTGGACTTCTTGTATTGGTGCTTTTCTCTCACTTGTCTGTTTTTGAACTTCTATCCTGGTACTTTTCTCTCACTTGTCTTTTTTTGGACTTCCTGTACTTCTTGTACTTCTTCCTCACTAGTCTTTTTTTGAACTTCCTGTATTGGTACTTTTCTCTCACTTGTCTGTTTTTGGACTTCCTGTCGTGGTACTTTTCTTTCACTTGTCTGTTTTTGGACTTCTTGTACTTCTTCCTCACTAGTCTGTTTTTGGACTTCCTCTCCTGGTACTTTTCTCTCACTTGTTTGTTTTTGGACTTCTTGTTTTGATGCTTTTCTCTCACTTGTCTGTTTTTGGACTTCCTGTCCTGGTGCTTTTCTCTCACTTGCCTTTTTTTGGACGTCCTGTGCTTCTGGTACTTTTTCCTCATTATTCTGTTTTTGGGCTTCCTGTACTTCTTGTACTTCTTCATCACTAGTCATTTTTTGGACTTCCTGTTCTAGTATTTTTTTCTCACTTGTCTTTTTTTGGACTTCCTTTCCTGGTGCTTTGCTCTCACTCATCTTTTTTTGGACTTGCTCTCCTTCTGGTACTTTTTCCTCACTTGATTCCTGTCCTTTTGGTACTGCTTCCTCGTGTGTCTTTTTTTGGGATCCCTGAACTACTGATACTTCCTCTTCACTTGTCTTCTCTTGGGCTTCAGGTCTTTCTGGTATTATGGCATCACTCTTCTTTATTTGAGATTTTTGTCTTTTTCATATTTCAGCATTACTGCCTACCTCGACATCTATCCCTTTCTTCTCTTTTTCCAATTCATTGTCTTTTGTCCTTCTTTTTGACTCTTTTTTGTGTATTGATATCAAAGATTCAGCAGAATCTGTAAATATTTCTTTTTTTAGTGCTTTCCTGCTTTCTTCTAGAGCCTTTTGAGAACTTGTAGTTCCTCCACGTTTTAGAATCTGGGCTTTGGAATCTGATTTTTTTGCATATTCTCCATCCATGTAACCTGGAAGTATAACTGAGCATACAACAAAGTGCATGATACGGATATCAAATATTTTCTCTTTACCCTTATTTTCCCCAGATATTGGTTCATTTTTTACAAATTTAAACTGACAAACAGATGGTAACTTGAGATATTCCCAAAAATATTAAAATGGTGGAAATCTATGCATAAAATTATAGAAATATTACTCCCCATGGAGGATCTCTGTCCTTAATGTGTTGTACTATGAGAATTAACGGTATAACTAGTACTCAAACAGTACTTTACACTTTGTGTTTCTGTGTGGGTGCAAACTGTTTAAATCTTTACTTAGTATATACTAAATTGATCTTCTGTATATAAAGATAGTTGAAAATGAATCTTGATGTGAATGGGATAGGAGAGGGAGTGGGAGATGGGATGGTTGCGGGTGGGAGGGAGAGGTTATGGGGGGAAAAGCCACTGTAATCCAAAAGCTGTACTTTGGAAGCCTATATTTATTAAATAAAAGTTAAAAAAATAATTCTAGCCCAAGGGGAAAAAGACTATTCTTAATAAATTTGAAAGCTAATTAGAGAAAAGGTAAATGTATTATAAATGAACTGGTGTTTGTTCACTGGATTATGACTAGCAAGTTCAAGACTAAAGAAAGATGTTTTCAGAAAAGAAAATTTATTTTAAGGAAAAATGGTAAGAAGCAATAACTATCTTTTTTTTTTTTTTTGACAGGCAGAGTGGACAGTGAGAGAGAGAGACAGAGAGAAAGGTCTTCCTTTGCCATTGGTTCACCCTTCAATGGCCGCCGCAGCTGGTGTGCTGCAGCTGGCGCACCGTGTTGATCCGAAGGCAGGAGCCAGGTGCTTCTGCTGGTCTCCCATGGGGTGCAGGGCCCAAGCACTTGGGCCATTTTCCACTGCATTCCTGGGGCACAGCTGAGAGCTGGCCTAGAAGAGGGGCAACTGGGACAGAATCCGGTGCCCCGACTGGGACTAGAACCTGGTGTGCTGGCGCTGCAAGGCAGAGGATTAGCTTATTGAGCAGCGGCGCTGGCCTAACTATCTTTTAAAATGGAAAAAAACCCTTAAATATGCTTTCTGTATTGAATAAAATCATATCTCATTATATAATAATTGAGCTACTTGATAAATATTTGCTTACCATACACCAGGCACTTTTCTGAGCATTTTGTATATTAAATCATTTAATCCTTTTAGCAATAGTAGGTACTATTATTATGTTCACTTTACAGTTGAAGACACTAAAGCACAGAAAATAAATGTGAATAAGATCATGAAATTAGTATGTGGTGGAGTTGGGATTTGAACCCGTCTAGTGAGACTCAATAATTTAGTTCTAGCCATCATATTAGACACGCTCTTTGCAATAGTTGCTGGTTCATTCTGCAACAATTTCAGATACCTTTAATCATGTGCAGGTAAATCAACTCTGCTATGTATCAATATCTGTGTGATGTACTAAACTTGAATTTGTTAGCTTTTGCCAATTGTGATTCATTTGGTTCTCTCTCTCTTTCTCTCTCTCTCATGATTTGCTTTCATCAATAGCGTAAAAGAAATAACTTTTTTTATTTATTTAAAGTTTTGTTTATTTGAGAGGTGGAGAAGTTGTGATAGAGATTAAGAGTGTGCTTCTATCTGCTGGTTCACTCTCCAAATGCCCACAATGACCAATACTGGGTTGGGCTGAAGCCTGGAGCTGGGAACGCAAGCCAAGTTTCCCAAGTGTGTGTCAGTAACAAGATCAGCAACCAAATCATTTGAGCCATCACAGCTGCCTCTAGGGTTTGCACTGGCAGGAAACGAGTAAGGAACCTGAGCCTACTGTGGCGTGGAGGCTTCAAAAACTTAATGGCTAAATGCCCACTCAAAGAGATAGCTAAGCTACAAAGGAAAGTTGTGTGAGCTCTTGCTATGAAGCAGAGGGATATTTTTGCTTTGAAAAGAAAAATCAATATTTATTATTTAAACTGACAGAATACCAAATTTAAAAATGAATCAGAACACCTGGGTTTAAAATGCCTGCGAACTGGGTTTGCTTGGTTAAATCAGTGAATATTCCAAAGAGTTTGCTTTCTTATGGTTAGTCTGCTGTGCTTACTTTGTAGGGGTATTGAAGGATTCTAGACAAATGATAAAGAAGCACTGGATACAGCATTGGATAACCATTGGACACAGATGTTCAAATCCTGTCTACATACTTAACTAGCTGGGTGACACTGAACAAACTTCACTTTCTTATTTATAATTGAGGACAAAATTAGGGGATTAACTAATATTATTTAAGTAAAGCACTCAGTATCCTGCATAAAACATAGTAAGTAGTCAATAAATGTTGACTCTTACTACTGCCAAATGAGACCATACAGACAAAAACTCTCTTACCTAGTCAAGACAAGATATTCATAATTCTCAATAAAAATTTAGAGCATCAGCTAACTGTATTACAGGAAAATTTCTCGCTTAAGGATTAATTATTGGACTTTTAATGCAGAAGACTTCAGGTACATTTAGTTTGATGTTTGAAAACTTGATATACATATAACTTTGGCATTTTATCCATTGTAAAATTAGGCACACCTATGTTATGTAAGAAGGTAATTATAAATCAAAAAGAATATTGTACTTCCGTGTTTTCTAAATTTTTGACACAAAATAAAAATATGTGTATCCTCTCCATGCTCTTCATTAAAATATGGGCACTGACATTTTATTCTAGACAAACTCATTTCTAATTTTTTAAAGAAAGTCAGTGATAGATATTTGCATATCCTGAACATTGTTCAATTATGGAAAATAATGATTTTTGACAGTTTTATCAGCAGCCATTATTTTATTTGGGGTATGGCACTGTTTGAAATGGTATGGAGAAGTGTTTTTGCATTGACATTTATATCCTTAAGAATTCTGTGAGATGTGCTAAAAAAGTTGATCCTTCTTAATATATGAAATATTATTATTTTTACTATCTCTTGAGAGTAACTGTTTTCTATTGTCTGTAAAACTTCATGATCTACTTTTTAAAGCTGAAATTATCTTCTACATTGTATAGATTTTGTTAACAAAAATGAAATATTCTAGGATTTAATGAAACACTCAGGTTGTTTTCTACCTACAGCTTTCCTAATTTCATGGAATTAAATTTTTTTCTTATCTTTCCCAATACACTGAAATATACATTTCTAGTAGTATCTTCATATTCTTCATTGTTGTTAGTCTATTTTCTGTTATCTTTTCTATCTTGAATTTTATTAGAAATTAATAGGATTTACTTTTCAGGAACTCAGCTATCTGATAAAGTGAGGTCCACTTTTATTTCAAGTTTGCATTGCATGGGGCTGGCGGTGGGGTGCAGTGGGTTATAGCCCTGGTCTGAAGCGCCAGCATCCCATATGGGCACCGGTTCAAGACCTGGCTGCTTCACTTCCCATCCAGCTCTCTGCTATGGCCTGGGAAAGCTGTGGAAGATGGCCCAAGTTCTTGGGCCCCTGCACCTGCGTGGGACACCCGGAAGAAGCTCCTGGCTCCTGGCTTCAGATTGGATCGGTGTAGCTCTGGCTGTTGCGGCCATCTTGGGAGTGAACCAACAGATGGAAGAACTCTCTCTCTGCCTCTCCTCTCTCTCTGTAACTCTGACTTTCAAATAAAATAAAATATTTTAAAAAAAGTTTGCATTGCACAAATATCACAAATCATCATTCCATCACATTCTGAATTCTTCTCTTTGTTCTCTCATATGTTAAACAGTGCATACTTTTTGCTTCCCTTTGAACTTCACAACTATCTTATATTTAAAGTATAAATATTTATAGTGGAAAGATTTGAAAGCCTTGGGTGAAAGTTCACTTATTTCAAGCAGTAGCTCATGTGACAAAATTCATTATACTCAAAAGATTTTAAATTGGATTAATTTTTGTTAAAGGTGAAAGATGTAAAGTAGCTATCATATTAATAATTATAGTTATGTGATGCTTAAAATAATGTACAAAAGTAGATCATGTAAATTATTAAGAAACTAATCATATGTTCTTAATCCAGTGGTTAACATGGGAGAGCAAAATCAGATCTAGAATGTAAAAGATCTGTTAGGAGTGGGTGTTATGGTACAATGGATCAAGCCACTGCTTGGAATCCTGTCTGTAAAAGCGTACTGGTATAAGTCCTGGAGCAGTTAAGACTGGACAAACATGCAGCAGCTAGCATGAAACTACCAGAAACTCTTGTGGCCAGTAGATACACCATAATCTCAGACTTAGGTGAGATAAAACTGCAGCAGCCCATATATCACTGGTGATCTTGTCTGAGGGAGAACCTCACAGCCCCACTGAATCCACTGAATCCAGCTTGAAGAGCTGGTGGGGAGCAGGGTTCCCACCTAACCCCATGAAGGGAGTGCCGTTGATTTCCTTCCCTCCCCTCACCAAGGTTACCAGTGATCAGCAGGAAGGAAGCACCTTCTTCCCAGAGTGAGGCAAGTAAAGGAGGCTATGGCCCAGGCCACTGGTGGATTTTGTCTGAAGCAGAAAGCCAGTCCTCAGTTACTTTGATTCTGGCATGGAGAGATGGAGGGGCAATGTGCTTACTTAGTTTCATGAAGAGAGGGGCACATTGCTCTCCTCCCTGATAAAATTGATCAGGTTTGTGAGCTGGAAGACCACACTTTCACCCTTCGAAGGTCACACCTTCGCCCCTGTGTGACCTCCTTGCCCCTACCTGGACACATCTGTGTGCCCACCAGCCAATCAGGCTAATTAACCATTTCCATTTGGAAGTGGATTAAAGGCCTGGGACATAGTGGGCCCAGCTATTTTTTGGCCATTTGCCATTGTGAGCCAGTGCTGCCCTGCTACTCCAGGGCATGTGGCCTTTGGGCCACTTGCCCCATGCTTCCTGGCCTGTATGCACCTCCACGTGGCTGACTCTTGGTACTCAGTATGAACCCAGATTTCTCTTAGATAGGGCCCTCACTCTCCTATGACTTTCTCCCACTGAATAAAAAGGCTT